GGGGGAAGGGGGTTGGGTGCGGCCGCCCGTGCGGGATCCCGCTACGGTGCTCTCCCCCAGGTTCGCCTTCTCCCGGCCGGTCATTCTCCGCGGGGTCACGGACAACTCGGTGAGTGCCGGGAGGGGGGGAGGACCGGGGAGGGGACACACCGGTGACCCCGGAATCGGCGGCGGCAGCAGCATCGCGGCCCACCCCCGTCCCGCTGTGCCCCCCCCAGGCCTTCCGCGCCCTCTGCACCCGGGAGAAGCTGCTGGCTGCATTCGGGGCCCGCCCGGTGCGGCTCAGCACGGCCAACACCTACTCCTACCGCAAAGGTGAGGGGGAGGGCGGGGGCCGCGGCCCGCAGCCCTCCCGCGGCGGGCAGGGCCTGCCCAGGGGTACTGCAAGACCCCCCAGCTCTCCTGCCTGCCCGCAGTGGACGTGCCCTTCCAGGAGTACGTGGAGGAGCTACTGAAGCCGCAGGATCCGGCCCAGCTGGGCAGCGGTGGGTAGCGCTGTCCTGCTCTCTGCAGCCGGCGGCCCCCCCATCCCCAACCCCGGCTTCATCCTCACCCTCTGTCCCCCCTCCCCCTCAGACACCCTCTACTTCTTCGGGGACAACAACTTCACGGAGTGGGGCCCCCTCTTCCAGCAGTATGTGTCCCCCCCGTTCCGCATCCCGGGCACCAGCCCTGCCTACAGCTTCGGGATCGCAGGTGGGTGCTGGCGGAGGTGGCAGGGGGTGCGGGCAGAGAGGAGGGGTGTCTCCCCAGCACCAACCCCGCCTCCTGCCGTAGGCTCTGGCTCTGGGGTTCCCTTTCACTGGCACGGCCCCGGTTACTCTGAGGTGATCTTTGGCAGGAAGGTGAGACTTGAGCCCTGGGGGGGGGGCAGGGGAAAGACCCCAATGGGTATCCCCCAAAGAAGCCCCGATGGGGCTGGAGGGGAAATAGGGGGTGTGTGTGTGTGTGTCCCCTCCCCGGTGTCTTCCAGCGCTGGTTTCTGTACCCGCCGGATAAAACACCCCACTTCCACCCCAATGAGACGACACTGGCCTGGCTCCACCACACGTACCCCAGGCTGCCACCGGCCGAACGGCCACTGGAGTGCACCCTCCGCCCCGGAGAGGTGAGTCCAGCCTGGCATCTGCCAGCCCGCGCGTCACCCTGTGTCTCTGCTCCCCTGGGGAGGTGGAGGGGACCCCCCCCGCAGCCCAGCCAGCACCCCTGCGGCTGCGGAAGGACGTAGGGTGTAGCCCCCAGGGAGCCCGTGGGACACCACCCCCCTCGCCACTCTCTCCCGGCAGGTCCTGTACTTCCCTGACCGCTGGTGGCACGCCACACTCAACCTGGACACCAGCGTCTTCATCTCCACCTTCCTGGGGTAGAGCCGGGGAGGCCGAGGACGTGACCCCACCACCCCAAATGAGGGCAGCAGCTCCAGCTCCTGCCCCTGCCTGGGAAGGGCAGTGCCAGCAGCCCCCCACTCAACTCCTGATGTCGGGACCAAGTGCCTGAAGTTCTGGATTTTACTGGTATTTTCCCTCCTCTTTGGATTAAAGTTGTTCTGTTGTATCGCTTGGCGTCTTGTGCCATGCCTCCTGCCACCAGAGTGCAGGCAGGGGCTGAGCCCCAGCCCCCACGGGCAGGCTGGGTCATGGCGTGACCTCCTCAGGGGATGGCACTGCTCCCCAAGCCAGGACACTGCCTGCCCCCTGCAGAGATCACCACCGTGAACCACTCCAGATCTTTTTTCCACATTTATTGCTGAATTTTTTTTTAATATTTTTTTTTTAATTGACATTGGCAAACTTTCAGAGGGCGCTCAAAGCCAGGCAGGCTGTCGGCCGACCAAAACGCTGGAGTCTGTCGGATGCAGAGTTGTTGTTTTGTAGGTTTTTTTTCAAAGAGATTTCATTAAAAGGAAAAATTTGAACCCAGGCAGTTGTTCACAGGGAACCACAGTCCCAGCAGGCAAGGGGAAGCATAAACCAGCCCCTTCCAGCCCAGGGGCAGTTGTTTCCCAGGAAAAGCCGGAGGGCAAGTCGGCATCTGCAGAAGGAACGTGGGTCTCCCACCCTGGCAAGTGACTATTTACAGGGAAGAGGAGGACCCGACCCTGGCCAGGCAGGAGGTGGAAGAAAGAAATAACTATGTACATGGGGAGGGCACTGGGCCCGACCAGCACCAGGCGCTCATCCCGGCAAGCTCCTCGCAGCACCTCCCTGGAGCAGGATGTGATCTTTGGGGACTGTCAGCTGCCGTAGCCAAGGGGGAGCCTGCTGGTCTGGATGATGAAGATGCTGGTGCAACCTTCCAGGACACCACCACCAGCCAGCCTTCTCCAAAGTGCCAGGCAGATCTTCCTCCAAGTGCTGTGATCCGCGAGGAGCTGGTGGAGAGGGGAGCCCGGGGAGCCTTTGTACCCTCCCAGGCGCTGCAGCTCCTCGGGAAGGGGAGATGGCGATGTGCCCTTTCCCAGCGCTTCTGCTGGGTCTCTGGGCACCTGGAGCAGAGGGGGAACAGCCGGAGAGCGAGTAAGGCATGGTGCCAGCCCAGCGAGAGCCATCTGTGCCATCTGGGGGGGGACCTGGACGGGCCAGTGCTGCCCCCTCGGCCCCTCAGTAATCCTCCACCCAGCCGTTCTCTGAGATGAACGCGTCTATCACCTCCTTCATGGCGAGGTTGGGGATCAGCTGGTCCTGGGTCAGGGGACTCCGCGTCACCGGATCGAAATGACCCACGCGCTGCAAGGGAGGAGACAGCCACCAACCGGTTACTCCACGTGCCTGGCCTCGGCCCCGGGGCACAGGCAGATTCGAGGCCAGGGCCCTGCCTGCATCTCTGCCGGCATCCAGCACAGCAGCCAGGCATCCATGCGCCTGCCGGGGGGAGGAAAGGAGGCGGAGGGAGAGCCCCTTTGGAAGGTGTCTCAGAGCAGGTTAAGAGTGGGTCAAGGCACAAGATCCCTGCCAACAGCCGCCTCCGCTTCAGGCAGGGCCTGGCAGCACTCGCTGCCTTCCTGCCTGCCCCGGCACCTCCGCAGGGCGCTGCCCGGGCAGATACCTGGGACCAAGCCCAAGGAGGCTTTTGAGCCCGTAGCTGGGCAGACAGCTGCCTTCACACCCAGGCAGGGCAGGCAGGAAACAGGCAGAGGAGGACTGGGTGCAAGGTCCTGGGAAGCCCCCACGGCCCGGCAGTACCTGGAGATGTTCCTCAATGTCCTTCCTGTCGTAGGTGATGCCACTGGGTGTGATGCAAGGCTCTCTCATCAGCTCAAAACTGATCTTCCCACATAGGTAGTCAGGGATGTCTCGTTTCTGGTTCGAGAGAAGCAAAGCTGGGTCAGGAGGGGCTGGGTGAGCCCAGCATCAAAAAAAAAAAAAAAAAAAAAAAAAAAAAAAAAAAAAAAAGGAGGGCAAGGAGGTGGCACCAGCTGGAGGAGAAGCAAGGAAGAGGGCAGAGGTGGCAGCACAGGCTGAAGCAGGTTTATGGTGAGCAACTCTAGACAGGGAGAGACGGGAGCACACACTAGGGCACACTCACCTTCCTCTTCTCATCCACTTGAGAGAAGAGCTCGTCCATGTCTGCCAGATATTTGTCCTGAAAGAAAACGCCTTGAGGATGAGGGGGACCTGGTGTATGGGGGCTATGGGTCCCCAGGGAGGGAGCCCTGAAACCTCCCACCCCATGGCTGCTGTGGCAGGCAGAGCCAAGGCTGCAGGTCCTCGGTGGCCCCTCTGCCTTCACAGCCCCCAGCTGGCAGTTGCCTGGCTCCAGGCTGAACCGCGTGGCAGGAGTGATCCAGCTTAAAAATAACCTTCCTTTGTGGGGCTATTTTTATCCCAGGATTAGTCCTCTGCACCGGGCCAGCACCCAGACCCACATGTGGCCAAGAGCCGTTGGCATTGCACGGCCCTCAGAGAACAACAGGCGCAGCAGCTGGGGGACAGCAAATAGGCGTCACCGCTGCCGGGCTGCAACAAGAGGTGACAGAGCAGGAGCAGCTGTCATGGGGGGGGCACAAAAGCCCTGCAACAGCAGCTCGAGCAATGAAATGAAGGCTGAGAAGCTGTGCTCTGCCCCGTGGTCTCCTGGCTTTCCCCTGCACAGCTGCAGCCCCACGGCTTCCTTGGCTGCAGCAGAACATGGGGATGGGACAAGGAACCCCCAGCTTGTCTCCCAGCCGCCGTGAGCAGCCCCAGCCCCCCCACTCACGTGTTTGGCCTCGATGCTGGCCAGCTGAACTCGGCTCCGGCTCTCATCCGCGTTTTCTTCCTGCTGAGTCTTTCGGCACTCAGCCAGCTCCCTAGGACAGAGCAGGGAGATAAGCAGTGGAGGGACACGAGCACTCCCTTCCCTGCTGCTGCTGCTCAAGTTGCGGGGCTCCCACTGCACCTCCACGAAGGTACAGGCACCACGCACAGCTGTGACAGCTTCATGGCACTAAAAAAGCCTTTATGGGTGCTGCTGCTGCTGCCCTGTTACCTCTCCTTCTCCGCCATGATCAGCTTGGTCAGGTAGGAGTGCAGCTCATTCTCCTGGTTGATCCGCTTCTCCTCGATGCTGTTCCAGCGTTTCTTCTTGGCGATGCGCAGCGCGCTGGGGATGTCGTCTCCAAAATTCAGCCGCTGTTCCTTGGCGAGGTTATAGGCTGGGGAGGGAAAGCATCTCAGAGCCAGCACTGGCTTCCTTCTACTCATCCCTGGCCCTCTCCTGGTGGACAGGCTGGGGGGAACACCGGCATCGTGCCCGCTCACCTCTCTGCAGGTTGGCGATGGCCTCGTCGTAGTTCTCCATCTCCATCTGGCACTGGCCCAGGAAGAAGTGAGCCTTCACGGACTGGCCGTCCAGCTCCAGGGCTCTCTTGCAGTCGGCCAGTGCCTTGTCGTGCTGCTGCATCTTCAGGTAGCAGAGGGCTCGGTTGGTGTAGTAGACGGCCACCAAGGGGTTGCGGTTCTGCAAGACGAGACCCATGCTGTGGCGGGTGATGGCAACCACCTGCTCCCTGCTGCGAGCTGGCAGGGACAGGGCATGGTGACAACTGGGTGACTTGGTGAGCCGGCTGCACAGCATCATCACCCTGATGAGAGCCATGAGTGCTGGCTCAGGCTTGCACCCCGTGGGGACTTGCTGGGACGGATAGGGCACAAGCTGGGGCCAGTCTCCATGGGGCAGCCTGTGTCCCAGCTCCAGGGGGTGGGGGGAGCAACCCCCCTAGACCAGGGACTGAAGCCCTCCACCCCAGGGTGTCTCTGCCTCACCAAACCCAGCCTGGGGATGTGGTGGGGTGGGACAGGCCCAGGGCGGGGGCACCCTGGCAGGGGGTGGGCACAGGAGGATCCCGCCTAGAGCGTGGTGGTGGGACAGGCCAGGCTGGGGGCATGTCCAAGCCCAGGGGGACCTTGGCTAGATCAAGCCAGGGGCGGAGGGGGGGTTCAAGCCCAGCGAGGGGATCCATGCCCAGGGGCGTGTCCAGGCCCGGAGAGGGTGGTCTAGGCC